TGGCTTGTTGTACACTCATCATGTAACTATAAACCTTAGGAAACTGTTCATGTGATAGTTCCGTAATAACAAACTAAAAAAATAGCTTAAATTATAAATAAAAAACAAATCTAAATTCATTACTTGTGCTAACCTTGCTTTCTGTTAAAAAATTATTAAAAGATAAATTGTCAAAATATACTTTCTAGTCTTTTATATTACTAGAATAATTAGTAATAATAATATGTTGATAGTAATAATAAAAAAATAACTTAAATTATATATAAAATTGCAAACCTAAATTTATTATTTGTGCTAATTCTACTTTTTGCTATTGTTATAGTATTTGAATCAGCATTTTTATTGCTATTTATAGGATTATGCTAATTGATTAAACCAGATTTTATGCATAATAATACATAAAAAGAATGATCTTTCATATTAAGTCTTTAAAAAAAAAATTACTATAACATTATATGCATATACTGTATATAGCTTTTGTTATACCTGATATCAATACTAACTACTTGCAATATATGAAAAAGTTATGATCATTAGATGTTAATAAAGATAAAAAGTTAATAATTTTGATGTTATATTTCATGACTACAGCATCTTGATACTTACATGATATATCTGATATTCTAATAAAAAATTGCATGTTCTGATAGCACTATTTATATTATAGATAAATCTTGATTCTTTTTTTGTATTTAGTACTAGGTATTTATCTATATTTGCTAATTAACAAATTGAATCTTCATCAATAGTTTCCTAATCAGGATACAAGAATCTCTTCACAATTTCTATATAACTAATATATCAATGTGCAAATCTATATAGACAATATTCATAAAATTATTCTATATTTTTGATAATAAAATAAAAAATCTGAACTAAATTATATACTTTGGTTCTTGCAAAAATAATATCTTTGAGTAAACTAAAGTTATATTCAATATTGTTATTTGTATAGTTACCATATTATAATAAATTTAACTTAAAACAATGTACTTAATATTGTTATTAACTCCAAAAACATTCATAATAATTTGCAAGTAATAGATATTAATAATAATAATTATCCTTTAATTTTTGATAATAATCATTTATTTCAGTTTCTGTATGAGTATATAAAATTTTTTTCATTTGACTCATTATAATTATATGATGTTCTTTATTAGTTTTATGTTTTGAATTGTAAAGCCAATACCAAAATACTTGTAATATATAAAATATATATAATAGTATATTAGATTCTGGCTAACAAAGTTTTAGCATATTTTACTCTATAGCTGAATTATTAGTTAAAATATTTTGAAGCCTAACATCATATCTATGATTAAAAAATATATATTCAGAAAGAATTAATATTAACAAATTAATTGCTTTTTCAATTGTTAATTCAAGTTCATCAGATATAACAAATAGTTCTAATAGTAATACATCTGCTATGCAACTTATATATAGAAGTATTATTAATGTATTTAGAGGTTCGTATGATACAGATATATTAATATAACAAATTTCTCTAGATTCATGAATTTTCTCATATACTCTACTAATTAATCCTGTAACAATATATAGTATAAATGCTTTTTCTATTCATAAATCATACTTTTAAAAAATTGTTTATTTATAATTAGATGTATTATAATTTGAAACTTTCTCACTTAACACTGAAATATCAATTTACCATTTTGTTCACCAAGCTGAGAATTATGATATTATTCAAAAAGATAAATAATATAAGAATAATCTGAATTAATCATATAATCAGCAAGAGTTTCAACAAGATTTTTATTTGATAAAGCTAAAAGATGTAACTCATCTTCATAAGTATATAAGGCAAAAGCAAGTAAATAAATATTGTGAAATATTTATATAAATTTATTATATATTTTTTCATACACATATTTAAAACTAAGTAACTCAGTACAATTAATAATATGTTTATGTTTAAAGTGAATATTAACTTCTAAAGGATAGCTAATATCTAAATACTAACATTTTAATCGTAAACATAAGATCTGTATTTCTATTATGTACTGATTCTAAATACTTTCTTTGAAGATCATCTTGCTTTTTTCTAACATTCTGGCTATATATATAGTATCATATTTTTCGAAAAATAACTCTTTTAATCTTGACTTTATATCTCTTCATTTGTAATATTATAGTTTTTGAGTATTTTTTGAAAGCAGAAAACTATACTTTTATCTTATCTATAGTTAAAACATTAATGAATATATTAACTTTGAATTGCTATACTTCAAAACACTTGTAAGTATAATTTGGTAACAATTTTACAATATATCAGATCATATAGCTATAATTTAAAAGAAAAATAGCTTGCAAAAAATCTAGTAGTATGATCTAAGAAAAAATTTAAGAGTATATATATTTAATTATTATCATTATATTGCAAAAAAAATTATATTTTTAAAATTAAATTACCTCACAAGTTTTATTATTCAAATAATTATTAAAATTTGCAATATTTTGGATTACTTCATAAAAATTAATATCTAATTTAGTATAGCCAATTTTTATAAATTATGAAAATAAGAAAATATATATTTATAACATTTAAACTAATAGTAATAGTAATAGATAGATGCAAGTTTTAACTCACTTTGATATTATTATTTACTCTAGTACTTTTATCTACTTCTATGCTATCATTCACTTCTATGCTATTATCTACTTCCATACTATCATCGACTTCTATGACTTTATCTATATTACCTCCTTTACCTATTATATCATCTTTATTAATAGTTAAGTTCAAAGTATTTATTTGTATTATATTATTTGTAAATGTATTGTTCATATAACTTGAAAATATATCTCTTAAATAACTTATATATATATTTCATATATGATGTATAAATATATTTTCTGTATTATATATAAATATATTTTCTGTATTATTTGTGAATATATTTTTTGTATTATTTGTGAATATATTTTCTATACAATTCATGAATGTATCCTCCTTAATATAGTTTGTAAACATACCTTCATTTATATAATTAGTAAATATGAAAATCATACTTTTAGTAGATATAAAGATTGATTCTGCTAAGTAATATAAATCATAAGTTACTATTTTAACAAAAATTATAAAAATTCTAATCTATTAATTACTTATATAAAATTTAAGTTGTTTTTTTTATTTGATTACTTAATATTTCCTACTTAATTGCTTATTTTTAATTTTTTTTATTTTTATTTTTATTTTTTTTATTTTTTTTAAATTAATTTGTGCTATCAAGAGAAAACTATC